AGGATCACTACGTCCCTACCTTGCACCTGAGGCTGGTCTGAGCTGGGGGCTCCTGAGGTCATTGTGGGCTTCCTTGTATACCGTGGCCTTTTTTCAGATTCTGTGATATCAGCGGGTTGGGGTTTGGACCTGGCTCCTCTGGGGGCTACTGAAGGACCAACAGTGATGGGGGATTACCGTGAGTATCTGTGACCAGCCAGATTTCACCCAGCTCTGGGGGTGCCCTAGAGGTTACTGGCACTTCTTCAACAAGAGCCACAGAGGAGGGATTGGGTGGGGGGTGGGGCGTCCTGGCAGATGTGATCTTGGATCTGGGCTCTGGATGAGATGCATCTTCACAAGTGGACGTGGACACTCCAGGAAGAGGGCTGTAGTCAAGGCTTGGAGGGCTACAGGCTGTTATGTGCGAGTCCTAGTGGCCTCAGACCAGCCAGGCCAGCGGTTTCCGATCACCTGGGCTGCGTGTTAATAGATCCCTGCATTTCACCCCTGGATGGGGTGATTGTACGGATGTGCATCATGGGGGCCTCAGATGCTGGGAGAAGTCTGGCCTTCATTTGGGTGGCAATGGGGAGCCACTAAGCATTACTGGGCAGCCACACCAAGGAGCAAATCCAGGCAACACCTAGCATAGTGTCTGGCACATAGTCAGCCCTGATGCATGTCAATACCCAGATGACGGTTGTTGTTGCTGTAGTAGTATTGCTGAACCAGTGGCCTGACCAATGGCTTTTTGAAGAACATGTGGGTGATTCCGAGCCCTACCCAGAGGGGACAACCATTGGACCGTGGCGTTAGCTCTTTGAGTCCAGACATTGTCTGTGGTCTCTGAAACGCAACCCAGACTTAGTAGATGGATAAATGCTGCGAGATCAGGCTGCGGGAGGGATGCTAGATGGGCCACGAGAGGCTGGGGGCAGGGAGCCCGGAGAGGAGGCCAGGTGGTGAAGGGGAGAACCGGTGGGCCCATTCATGCGCCTGTGGGAGGCGAGGGGGTGTCATGGCTGACTCCCAGGTGTCTGGCCTGAGTCGTGCCACTGAGAGAATGGGGACCAGGTGATGGGGCAGTGGAATCAGAGTGCACAGGTGGCTGAGACACTGAGGGGTGAAAGAGTGTGGGTTGAGCCAGTAGGAGGTGGTTGGTTTCAGGGAGTGATGGAAGTGAGGACATGGTGTTGGGGAGGGGCGAGAACTCTTCTAAGAACAGTAGCTGTGAAGGGGGAGAGAGAAGAAGCGGTTGGCAGGGGGGATGACTATGTCCCTACCTTGCACCTGAGGGGGCTCCTGAGGTCATTGTGGGCTTCCTTGTGTACCGTGGCCTTTTCCCAGACTCTGTGATATCAGCAGATCGGGGTTTGGACCTGGGTCTTCAGGATGGCTTTTGCCACCAGGATAAGAGAGATGTGAGCACTTTTGTAGGCCGATGTGCAGGGGACAGAAATGAGGGAGATGCTGAGAGAACATCTCAAGCCAGGGGCGGGTCCAGGGCAAGACCCTTGGGAGGCAGGAGGGACAGTTGGCCTAGAGGGGACAGTTGGCCTTAGACAAGAGGCGAGACCCTCGGGGGCCTCGGGAGGAGTGTAGCTAAGGTCACGAGTGGGAAGGTGCAGACGCTCCTGCTGTTCCAGAATGTTTTCTGGGCCTAGGGAGGAGGATCCTGTGGGCACAGGGCGATTCTGGCTGTGGATTTGGGGTGACTGCCTGGAGACTTCTGGATTGGGACCTCTGGCCATGGGATGGGTGGGGTGGGGACCCCACCGTATGTGCCCCTGGGGCTAGTGGAGGGGGCTTGGCCTGAGCCGCAGGAGGCTCCTCCTGGGTGTGAGGCCCATCCTGTGACCCACCAAACCTCAGCCTCCAGGAAAGAGGCTAAAAATAAGGCTGTGGTGAAGAAGGGAGGGGGTGTGCGGGCTCAAGTCAGGCTGAAGCCCAGAGGAAAATCTGAGACGACCGGCCGGGCTGCTGTGACACACGCTTCCCGTGCCAGTGGCCAGTGGGATCTCATCCACTTGTGGCCATAGCTCCTGCCAGGCCTGGAAGAGGGTAAACAGCCCAAAAGGCCCAGGCCAGGCCTGCACGAGGCCTTGCTTCCTGGGAGGGTTCTGTCTGGTCTTCTGCCCAGAGCTCAGGCCTCAGACCTAAGCTGGGGCTGCAGGGGGGCTGGGGTGGGGGCATCCAAAGCTTGGGGTCTACACTGCCTGGGAGTTCCCAGGGACCCTGGATGCCATCTGGATGTGGAGGAATGTTCCTCCCCTTTACAGGAACTCTGTGCGGTAGGAGGCCAGGAAGCTTTCTGGAGGCAGAGGCAAACATTGGGCCTCGAAGTCATGGGAGGGGGACTGTGTCTGGTCAGTTGGCTAGAATGTGCCTTGGGAGGCAGCACGCGTGTTTTTATTTGTTGCGTGCATCTGTCTTTATGATGACCATTTGATATGTCCTCCTTCCCAGGAAGTGGCCTGCAGTTACTGTAGATCCATGCCCTCTATTTGGCTGTGGCTGGGGACCCACTGTTTAGGGACCCACGGAGAGTTTTACCCTTCTACCACTTCTCAACTCCACCCATCCTTGCAGACCACCTAGGCAGCCCCTGGTCTGGGTTCTGGAGATGACTTGCCATGGCACTAGTCCTCAGGGCTCCTGGTCTGGTGGGGGAGGAGGCAGACCTCACACCCTTCTGTGCACCCACTCCACGAACTGCCACCGTGGGCCGGCTGTGTGCTGGGCCCTGGGCTGGGGCCTGAGAGCAAACCATACAGAAGCCGTGTGGCAGGAGAACAAGCTTTGATTCTGGCAGCAAACCTGGTTTCAGATCACACCTCTGACACCCCAAGTGCTCTATGACGACATTGCACTTCTCAGAGCCTGTTTCCTCCTACGTACAACGGGGATAATAATTGTAGATACTAGCACAGGTAGAAATACCATCTGAAAGGCCTCACACGGTACCTAGAACTTAGCAGGTACCAGTAACTGCTGGTTCTTAGCTCCTGGCTACAGTGAGTCCAAGGAGCTCATCCATGTCCCCGTGTGTCTTCCCTGTAGAACTAACTAATCCTGGTATGACAAGTGCTAAAACAAGGATGGACGGGGCAACTAACTTATTGAGGTTGGTAGGAGAGAGAGAAATCAGGGAAGACTTCCCAGAAGAGGAGGCACCTAAACTGGTCTTGAAGGAGTGGCAGGAATTAGCAGAGCCAACAAAGTTGTATCAGGGTAGAAGAGGAAGCATGTGTAATTGGGGTGCCATGAGTAGTTTGGGGTGGCTGGTGTATGGAGTGGAGGGGAGGTTTGCTGAGACATGAGGCGGGAGGGTGAGATTAGCAGGGCTGAGCCTGTAGCTGGTGGCCTGGTGAAGGGTCCTGTGTCCTCCCGAAGCACTGGGGAGTCACAGTTGATAGTGACTATGCGAGAGCGGGATGTGATCACACGCCACCCATCAGGAGGGGAGCAGGTCTTGATGGACTCCTGGCCTCTGAGGCCAGGCACCTTGGAGGTCCCACTCGGTGGCTGTGCATTCCATAGGCCGAGGATCGGCCCTTGGCCTCTGCTTTCAAGGCAAGGCCACAGCCTGCCTTGGTTATTAGGTCATTAACTGGGTCTTACACAGCCTCTTCATTATGGATAATTATGGTAAATCCACTGTGGGCATTAACAAGGAGGAGGCCAGCTTCTCTTGGCTGTCAGGCTGCCGGACAGCAGCTGGGTCTGACGGGCATCCCCGGAAATTGCTGAGCATCCCAGCCCTGGGTCTTGGGAGGGACGGTGACACTCCCCTCTCCCCGCTTAGCCCCAGCCACCAGAGGGGACCCTCATACAAGGCTTGGAGATTCCACCTTTACGTGGTATGACACTGAACTTAACTTCCTGTGTCTCAGTTTCTTCATTTGTCCAGTGGGATAATAGCACCATAATAGGGTTGTATGAGGATTAAAGTAGCAAAGCACTTAATGCTCAATAATTTGAACCATCATCATTTCAAATGCTGACATCATTTTCATCATCATCATCATCATCATGATGGGAAGAGCCTGGGAATCCCCTAAAGGCAGGGTTTAGTCCCCTCTTCTGTCCCCTGCATGGGGAGCTCCTAAGGCAGGCCCTATCTCTTCCTCCTTTCCCCCCGTCCCTTCCCAGTGCAGATGTGTGGTGGTCAGTGGGGCCCTGGCCTGTGACCCAGGCTCCTGGTGTCCTTAGAGATAAGCCAAGGCAGAGCCCCAGGGCTGGGGACGGTGCTTACTCAGGCCCTGGTTGAGAGGTGAGAGGGGCCCAGGAGCTTGCTGGCCCCCATCCAGTGTGGCTCTGTCTGCTCACAGCTGGGGGTAGTTTCTGATGTCTGGTCTCCCCTCCCCCGACACATAATGCCCTAATGGGAGAGCAGAGGTGGTTGGGACTTGGGAAAAGGAATCTCCTTCCCTCAGAAAAGCAAGCCTGAAGCCCCACCTGCTTCCCTCTGTCTTGGGAAATCGGGGGTCCTGGTTATAATCCTGAGGACAACTGAGTGAGTGTGTTTGTGTGTGTGCTCGTGTGCAGGTGTGAGCGTTGCCCGAGCCCTCTCCCTCCCCGCTGGTTCCTCACACTTTCAGTGGCCGCCCACCTGCTCCCTGGACTCGGTGGTCTTCCCTGAAGGCAGGGCCCTGTCTGTTCCTCACTCAGGCTGAGGTTGGGCCAAGGTGGGCAGAGAGGAAGCTTGGCTGTCTCACTGGGCTGAGGAACTCACTGGCCTGTCTGTGCTCCGGCCCCCGCAGTGGCCGAGGGAGGGGGTGAGCCCTATCCCCCGCATGAGCACAGGAGGCCCAGGGGGGCAGAATGGAAGCTTGGCCTCTACGGTCCCCAACGGCCTAGCTGAGCTGGGCAGAGTGGTGGTGTGTAGATGGGGCCAGGCTGGGCCCTGCAAGGTGGAAAGAGGGCGGGGCTGGGACTGGGGGTAACCCAGGTTGGGTGGATAATGGGGGCCCCAGCATCAGACGTCGCCAGTGAGCATCATCTGTCTTCCCCTCCAGGCGTCCTTCTGGACATCCAGCAGCACTTCGGGGTCAAGGACCGAGGTGCCGGATTGCTGCAGTCAGGTGAGCCCCCTCGCCCTGCCGGGTCTCAGCCCCCTCCTTCCGAGTGGGCCATTCTCTGCTGGGCTCTCACAGGCCCTGCGCGTGGGCTTGGCGTTCCAATCCCGCTGTTGCCGCAGAAGGCACCCCTTCCCCAGCCTCTGCTTCTCTTCTGGCAGAAGGAAACCGACCGTACCACCCTGGGAGGCTGAGAGAGATCAGTGCGCAGGCCGAGGGCCCAGGCCTTGTAGGCGACTCCTGGGCCCTCACGGGGACCCAGGGTCCAGGTTCATCCTGAAGCTTGGGAAGGAGCTCCTTAGGTCAGTGAGTCGGGCACTGTCAGCAGAGCCTTGGCAACCCTGTTTCCATATCCCACGCCCAGTCCTTCCATTGCCGTCAGCTTGGGAGTCAGCTCCTAGATGTCCAGTCAGGAACCCTGCTCGGCCCAGAGCTGTTCCCAGACTCAGGGCCGGAGCCTAGTCCCGGGCCTGAGGTTCTCAGCCCCGTCTCCCTTGGGGCCCCAGCCTTCTGACCCTTGGGGAGGCCAGGCCCACACCCCCTGGGCCCTGGCAAGGTGGCAAGTCATTAAGCAATTATCCCAGCCTGTCTGCCCCTCCCTCTAGGGTCCATGTAACCCTTGTCCCTGCCCTGCCCACTGCATGGCCTTGGTGGATCTGAGCTCCTGGCTCCCTGGCCCTCTCACTAGCTGTGGCTGCTGGCCGTGTCCTCAGCAGGCCCCTCAGACCGGGGCAGAGACTCAGAGCCAGCTCTGTATGCCAGCTTCTCTGTGTGGCCGGGCCTGGCCCCCGCAGCCCTGGTTACCACCGGCCCAGGAGTCCACCGGACTCTGAGACCCAGTCAGACGTATGGGAGGAAGCCCATAGTCTGCATTCCAGTCTGCGGACCCCTTCCCCTGCCTGGGAGGGGGGGCTGGAGTGAGCGGGCTCTGTCCAGGAACCTGCCTGACCTGTCTAGGTGGCATTCCAGCATGAACAATGCCAGGCTCCCACAGTGAATTCATAGAGCCTGGCTACCTGTGCTGATTTCCCAGATGGGGTCTCTGGGGCTCAGAGAGAAGGGATGTGGTAGCTCCGGGCTCATCCCTAATACGTGAGCGTTGGCAGAGCTCGCACTGGGTAAGGCCATGTGGTCCAGCACCTGCTAAGGGTGGCCAGGTCCCTGCCATCGCAGGTATCACGTCAACCCAGGATGTGAGCCCAAACCCCTCCCCTGGCCCCTACTCCCTTGCTGGGTATCCCTGGCTGGGCCAGAGCAAATCAGCCTTCCCTGGGGCCTGGGCCAGGTCCCTCCGGTCTCCCGGGCCCTCCACTTACAGAGGGGAGGAGAGAGTTCAAGCAAGAGGGAGCCGGCTGCCGAGTTGGTGAGGAAAGGGCAGGAGAGAGCCTAGCCACCCAGACTCCCTCTGTGGCCCCTGAGGCACTGGGCACCTGCTGAGCCTCATCCCCTCCTGGTCTGGGCCTTGCTGACTGATAGAGCCAGGCTCTGCCCAGTCTCTCTACTGCGTCCCCACTGAGGGAGGGCAGGGCCAGTGCAGCCACCCAGGGAGCCGGTGGAGGCCTGTGAGGTTGTAGTGTTGCCATGGTTATGCCCCAGGCTGCCTTCCTAAGAGAGAGGAGTCACGGCAGTCCCTGCGACCCCTGGCGACCTGGCCAGAGGAGGACAAATACCCCACAGGAATCGTCTTATTTTATTATTTCTCCTACAAACTTCACTTTCTAGATGAAGGGACAGAGGTTAAGAGAGGTCTTAAGGTCTCGTGGTGAGAGGGTAGCAGGCCTGGAATTGGAACTTTGCACATGCTGTCCTCTTGGCTTGGGGAGGGAGCACAGATGGCCACTGGATTGGTGAGTCTCGTCCCAGGTGTCAGAGTCTGGCATCTCAGCATTCTCGGGGTGGGGGAGGAGGGCTCTGGGCCATAATGAGAGTCCAGCATTCTCAGAGACCCCCTAGTCTGACCCCCAACCACTTACCCCTAGCACAGCTGGGATGGCTCCCCAGAGTGTCTTCACCCCTTTGGCCATCTGAGCCAAGAAGCCAGGTGAGCTAGACCAGGATGCGATGCAGTGAGCATCCAGGCAAATCACCTAATTGGCCTGGGCCGCAGGCACCTGTCTCTTCCCCAAGCCCTGATAAGGTCGGAGCCAGGTGGAGGGCGCCAGCCAGGTGTTGGTGCTTGCCCAGATCAAAGGTCCACGGCTGAGAGCCGAGTTGTCTGCTTATTTCTGGGCACCAGGGGCTACTAGGCAGGGAGACAGGCTGGGAGGTGGCTGAGGGTTAGGCCTGGGCCTGCCCCTGTGATTTCCGCTGGGACCAGAGCACGAGCGAAGGCTGGGGAAGAGCCTGCATTCTGTACCTGGTGCACAAGCTGCTAGTCCAGAGCTGACCCCGTCTCCTGGAGCTCTGAGCTCGGCCTCTGTGCAAGCCCACGGCAGGCTCACGGCGCTTGGCTTTGGCAGTTTGGGGAACTCAGGAGCCCCCATAGCCTATGTCTAAAGGGGCAGCTGCCTCTGAACCTCCTGCCTGGCAGGCCCTGAGCTGGGCTCTGCACACAGTCCCTGCACTCAGTAGATCCCCTCTGTTGGTGGGAACAGAGCAGAGCCGTCTCCCCCAGGCCCGGGGAACTGGAGAGCCCGAGGGGAACTGGGGAGCCCGAAGGAAACTGTGGACCCAGGGAGGGGACCTTTGAGAGGGGTTCTGAAGGATGGGTTAGAATTTATCCAAGGCAAAGAACTTCCAGTCGGTTTGTCAGCTTGAGTAGACGCGAGAAGGCCTCCTTACCCTCCATGAGATACGCCAAGAAGCATGGAGATTACACAGCTGAGCCTGGACGCTATCGCTGGCCGGCAGGTTTCCGGGGGCCAGGGCACAGGCTTGAACTCAAAACAGGAGTGGGAGCTGGGATCAAAACCAAGTGCTGCAGAGGGTTTGCGGACCAGTGTCTGTCTGTCTTAGAGCTTGTTACAGTAGTTTTCATGATGAAGAAATGCAAATACACGCAAAGTGTGGAGAGAACAGTACAATGACCCTGCTTACACTCAGATTCACTGAGTCTCAGCAGTCTGGCCCCGTTCCAGGCTCGGGGGTCTCTTCGTTCTGAGGACTAGGCAGTGCAGGCCGTGTTCTCGTGTGGCACGGGGGACTCGCTCTCCGGAGTCCAGGGCGAGCTCCCTGGTTTCAGCCTGTGCCCCAGGCAGGTGGGCAGCTCTTTCTTCTGTGAAAGGACGCGTCCTTCCTGGTTCCGGCTCTGTGCACAGCCGGGGGCGCTTTGTGTGCTTGTGGGCGTCCACGCCCTTCCCGTGCAGACCTTGCTTCCAGGAACCCGCAGAGGCTGAGGAAAAGCTGCTCCTCGGGGAAGCCTTAATGACCAGACCCTGCAGGAGACACAGGTGACAATTCCCACGGAGGACAAACTCACATTCAAAATGGACAGAGCACGCAAGGAAAGCCACCTTTGTGGGAAGGAGTCGGCTGGCCTAGGAAAACCAGCTCCTGAAGAACTGCAGAACTCCTGAAGGGACTTGAACATCAGGTCCCTTAATTTTTTTTTTTTTTTTTTTCATCCTCACCCGAGGACATTTTTCCTTTTTTTTTTTTTAGGTAGAGTGGGAGGGGGAGAGAGAGAGAAACATCGATGTGAAAGGGACACATCGAGTGGCTGCCACCCGCACGACAGACCAGGGCCGGAGACAAACTGCAACCGAGGTACATGCCCTTAGCGGGAACCAAACCCGGGTCTCTCTGGACCGCAGGCCGATGCTCTAACCGCTGAACCAAACTGGCCAGGGCAGGTCCCTTAATTTTCAAAGCTCTACAGGAAAGAGAATTTATAAGACAGAAATAGTACCTTATTAAAAACAAAACAAAGCAGGGAGATGTTGAAAAGACCTACATTTTAAATTCTATTAGTGAAAAATACAAGTATTAAAATTAAAAAGTCTAATAATTAAGAGTTGCTAACAGGAAGACTAGACCCCGTTGAAGAGAAAATAAGCAAGTTAGAAGATGAATCTGAGGACATAAAGGGGAGAGTGAAGGTGATACTGCTTGGCTCTGAGGACTTGTGGTTCATTAGCCGTGGTCTGGAGTGTGGGGAGAATGGAAGGAGGAGACTGTAAAATCGCAGCGTCTGCTGGTGAAAAGCATCTGGACTTTGTCTTGGGGCCGTGGGGAGCCAGAGAAGGTTTCATGGCGTGGCAGGCCCCTGTAAGATGTGTACATCAGGACAATTACTCTGGGGCCCAGTGTGGGAATGGATGGCAGAGGAGGCTGGAAGGCAGTTCAGGTCAGGGATTCGTGGAGTCATGGGGAAGTTTCAGGATTGGGGGGAGGGGTGGTGGTGGCAGGGAGACAGCAGGAACAGAAGAAGAGCCAGCTCAGACTGAAACCAGACAGCACATCTGCTTCAGGGCTGAGTCTCCTTCTGGCCTTGTTCCCCTCCCCACTTTGGCCAACCTAGTGACATCCTCTCCGTGGATTCTGAAGGCTGGCAGCCTCTGTGGGTATTTCCCCAGGGCCTCCTTGAGGCCGGAGGGGCCAGCCTAGGGCTTATATGCCCAGCACTGAAAGGAGGAGTGGTTTCTGCAGGAAGTCAGGGCATGTTGGCTTTCAGGCATTGATGTGTCCGGGCTGTCCTGGGTCCTCCCATCACCTTGGCTTGCCTGGGCTGCCATCCTCCATATCCTGTGGGTGGGGAGGGCACTCAGGCAGAGCCTGACCCCTGCCCATCCCAGTGCCCGCCCAGTACTCTCCCTGCCCACAGGATGTGGAGGATGGTGGATCTTTTCCAAATAATAGGTCAGCCAGATCTAGACTTTGTAAAAATAGCCCTGGTTTAGCCCAGGCCAAGGTAGGGGCTGGATGTGGGCTCCAAGGCCACAGGGTAGGAGCCCAGGGCTCCCCAGCTCAGGCCTCACCCACTCCTGCTCTGGGACCACCTCTGGGCTCACACAGGGCCCTGCAGGTGGCTCAGCAGCCCTGTGGTGGGGGTCCTGCCAGCACAGGGTCCTCACTGGGGCTGTTCGGAGCTTCTGGGTGCTGGTCCCTCTGTGGGCCCACAGGGAAAAGGCCTTCAGCCGGCACCCTGAGCCCTTGGACTGCCGTGAGAGGGGCCAGCCCTTACAGATGTTGTCCAAGCTCCGTCTTCTGGGTCTTCTGGTGACTCTCGTCAGCCCTGGGAGGAGGGGGCATGGGTATCGCAGCCCTGACTTCTCGCCCCCTGTCATCCAGGCCCTGCCCTGCCCTGCCCCCCCCCCCCCCAGCTCCCTGCTGGCCACTCCATTGTCCCTGACCTGTGGGCTCAGCACACGTGAGCTGAGTGAGGGCTTCCCCACACCCTGGCCACAGGATGTCCTCGAGCAGGCTGCTGGGAAAGCCACCCCCGCCCCACCCCGGCCCCACCCCTATCGAGACCAGGCTGCCAGAAAGCTCTCCTCAAACAAACAAAGACTATGGGGCAGGGGTGGGTGTACAGGGAAGCTTCTAGCCCTGCTGGTCTTTATTTTCAGCTGAGCTGCTTGCTGGCCAGATTGGCCGCTGTGCCCATTTGGGACAGTTCACGTGTCCCTGCCTCTGTCTGTGCTGTTCCTTCTGCCAGCAACGTTTTGCCTCCTGTTCCTGTGGTGACTGTGTCTGGCCCCCTCCGCTGGCCTGTGACATCCCGGAGGACCAGGGCAGGTCCTCTCTCGTTTGCCCCAAGCAGAGCAGAGGGGAGGCTGCAAAGATGGGTCGTCTCCATGTCACAGCTGAGGTCACTGATGTGTGGGGGACTTGCCCAAGACAATACTGCTTCCTGACCTTGGACCCCTTGTTCCCAAGGGGAAGGCACTGAGGGATAAGGGAGTCTAGGGTCAGGAGAGTCACAGTATCATCTCGGACAGGTTCCCCCACATTTTAGGGGCCTCAGCTGTAAGATGGGTCGACGTGGTGAAGCTCAGGGTGGTGCCTGGTGACCTTCAGTAGGCTGGAACCAGGGTGGGGACAGGGTGTGCCTGCTCCAGGATGCCCCTGCCCACCGGCCAGCAGGCAGCAAGCTGGGGGAGAGAGCCAGGAGCTACGTTCCTGCTCCGCTCCGGGCAGGTGGGCGGGCATGAGTCAGGAGGGTGCCTTCAGCCCAGTGGGGGCTTTTCCAGTGCGCCCCCCTCGCAGGGGAGAACAGAGCGTGCCGTGGTTCTGCACTGCCTTCTAACTGAACGCAAACCTCGTTCTAGTGCTTAGGGCTTGACCTTGCTCCCCGGCCTCATGTCCCACTGCTTCCTCAGCTGCGGCCTGACCTGCTTTCTCGCTGTACCCTGAACTTTCTCTGACCTTGGGAGCATCAGCTGGGACCACCCCTTCCCCAGCCTGGCCGTCTGTAGTGTGATTTGGAGCAAGGACTCTGGAGTCAGACCAGTGAGGGCTTACATTCGGGCTCAGCCACAGACTTGCTGTGTGATGTCACCCCTCTCAGCCCCTGGTGTAAGATGAAGATAATAGTGAGAAGCAGACGAGACCACCTGTGCTTGTGTCCAGGGCACATCCTTGGGCTGTGTCTGTGATAAGTATTCTAGAAATGATAACTGTGCCTCCTTAACTATTTACGGTGTTGCTTGTAAGATTTATATTTTAGTAGATACTCTTTTTAAAAAATATTATGTCTTTATTGATTTTAGAGAGAGAGGACAGGGGAGAGAGAGAGAAACATCGATGAGAGAGAACATCGATTGGCCGTCTCCTGCATGACCCCCACTGGGGATCGGGCCCACAACCTGGGCATGTGCCCTGACCAGGAATCGAACTGGTGACCTCTTGGTGCATGGGTCGACGCTCAGCCACTGAGCCACACTAGCCAGGCTTAGTAGATATTCTTGATTTTAAGTATTATCATCATGGTAAATTCCTGTGTGTCCTTCAATGCCCAGCTCTGACATCACCACCTCCATGAAGCCCCCTTCCTGGCAGGAGCTAGCCTTCTTTGCTGGTTCCCTGGCATTTTAGCCCTTTAAGCTGGGCAACCATGGGTAGAGTTTGCCGCCAGACCAGACAGGGTGCAACCCCTACTCCTTCTCCCTGCCCACCCCCCACCTTCCCCTGTCCTCCCCCTAACCTGGGTAGGTCCTGATGAAACCGAAATCTCCTTCTTGCCCATATCTGGGTCTGATCTCAGAAAGATCCTGGGAGGCAAGCCCAACAGGAAGAATTATTTTTCTACAGATGAGGAAATAATTCCTGCCTTGATGATTCTAAGCAACCGGCCAGGGTTGACTAAGGCCGCCCGCTTTGGGCAGGGTGTGACTTCGAGCGCCTTCGAGCGTTATCTCAGCCACTGCTAAGACCAGCTGGGGAGTTGCTATTTTTATCTTCATTTTACAGATAGGAAGTTGGCGTGCTGGAAATGACTTAGACCTGCACATGAGAGTCAATTGTTAGATTTTCAGGAATTATGTGAGCTGGTTGTTAAATACAACCATAATCAAAAACGAAATTATGTAAGCTAACGATCAAACAACTTATATTAAAAACAAAGGTAATAAATAGGATTCATCACTCCCCAATGATTTTACTACAGTTTACTACAGTTTACAGTGTGCTCTTATGGTTATTTACTCCTATTATATCTGTCTGGTAAATGACTGTATACACAGTGCTGTGTGGAACAGTGACATCATGTTGGTAGCTTGAAATCAGCCAGGGTGGGAGTGTTTACACCGTGAGAATTGGCAAACACTGCACATCAGGAGCCAGTTGTTCGACACTTATCAGCACACCACTAATTGAGGCACAGAGAAGCTGTGACCTGCTCAAGGTCACCCAGCTCGGAAGGAACTGAGTTGAAGTCCAACGCAGGCCGTGTGTTGCTGGTGCCTACATTTGTGCACCTCTATGCTGATTCTGCTCAAGGTCCCAGTCACACATCGTTGGGATTAACAGGCCACCCACACACCCCATACGTGCTCACTGTTCTCACTAGGATAAGAGAGACGGTCACACCCCTCCAGCACAGCCCTCTCGCCACTAGTTCACCTCCTCCTCTCCTTCCTCCCTCCCTCTTTGTCTTCTTCCAGGCCTGCGTCTCTGGGGACTCAGGTCTTGAAGAGAGCAGCCCAGTCCATGTGCACATTCAGCCTGGCGGTCAGAGGCCAGTCGCTGGCCACCTTGCCTGCCCACTCCCAGCCTTTGTCTGGCCATCTGCCCATCAGCTGCGGGACTGCCTTCCAGGGAGAGAAGCGGGGGGCTGCCTTGCCTGTGACCCAGGGCCTACCCTTGCTTTCTGGCCGCTTTATCCCACCTGGGACCTCCCAGGCCCCTCCCATCACGGGCAGTGGCATCCCCATGGAGTCCTGGAGACTGCCCTTCTCTTGTTCTGGAAGAACAAAACCAGGCCAGACCTCGCTGCTCAGCATCCTCCAGTGTTTTCCTTTCTCACCAGCAGAAGCCACAGCATCACAATGGGCATGAGGCCATACCCGGCCGGCCCGTCCCCTCTGCCCTTCTTGTTCCAGCCACTCTGGCCTCTTGGCTGTTTCTCTGACATGCTAAGCACACTCTTGCCCCACGGCCTTTGTACTTTCCACTCCTGTCCCAATATTTGCACGATTTGTTTTCTCACCTCCTCCAGTTGGTCTCTGACCCATCTATCTAAAATTATAGCATCTACTTTCACATTTCTCATCTCCTGTTTCTGCCCTTTACCCTCCTTAGCACTTGTCACCATCGAGCATGCTATACTTTTTATTTTATTGTCTGTTTCTCCTCAGTGAAATTAAAGCTCCAAGAGGGCAGGGATTTTTGTCTGTTTTGTTGAATGGATGACTGGTTGGCTGGCTGGCTGGCTGGCTGAATGGGTGAATGAATGAATGAGGGAATGAATGAATGAATGAATGAGGGAATGAATGCATGAATGAATGAGGGAATGAATGGATGAATGAATGAGGGAATGAATGCATGAATGAATGAGGGAATGAATGCATGAATGAATGAGGGAATGAATGCATGAATGAATGAAGGAAGGAAGAAAGGAGCAAATGAACAACAATATTTCCAAATGTCAGGAAAGCCTTTGCAGCCTGCTGGGAGTACAGGTGGCTGTGTGATCTGTCAGGTATGAGACCTGCAGTTCCAGGCCCAGGTCTGCCCTGGTTTGCTGTGTGACCTTGGGTGGTAGTCCCCTTCTCCTCTCTTTCCCAAGTCTAATAAGGAAAGCAGTGTGGCAAAGTATAAAGAACACTGGCTCTGGAGTCAGCGGGGCAGGATCTAATCCCCACTGGGCTGGTTCCTGCTGGGGGGCCTTGGGCAAGTTGCTTCTCCATGAGCTTGTCTCCGTCTGTGAGATGGGCTGGGCTGGAAGGATACACGAGATGCTTTGTGGTGAGTCTAGCACAGCTCCTGGCATACAGAAGCTGTTCGATGAGTAAATCTCTACTGTTCTAAAAGTACCCAAAGGGCTCACCTGCAACGGGACAGATTGTGGGCCTGCATTAAAAAGGATGGCGTCTAGAATCACTGAACCCAGAGGGCTTTTCCTGCCTCCCCTGGGCCCAGGCCTGGCTGAGGTCGCTGCCTCATTATCATTAACATGTACTGTTTACCTTTGCTTCCTCGCTGGGGTTGCTTCCTCAGCCCCTGGCCCAGGCTCAGCTTTGTCTCCTGGGCTCTTGGCCTCAAGCTGGGTGGTGCGGGCAGGTGGGCTCAGACCCAGGGACCCTGCAGCACCCTCAAGCTCTCCTCTGCCTGCGCAGTGTTCATCTGCAGCTTCATGGTGGCTGCCCCCATCTTCGGCTACCTGGGCGACCGTTTCAACAGGAAAGTGATCCTCAGCTGCGGCATTTTCTTCTGGTCGGCTGTCACGTTCTCCAGCTCCTTCATCTCCCAGCAGGTGAGGCCTGTCTGGACTTCCTGCCCAGCAACCCCTGAGTGTCCTGGCTGTTCCTCCAGGGGGCAGCCAGTCTGATCCACCTGTCTTAGTCTAGATGGGGATTCCAGCTGCTTTGCACGAACCCCACATCGTATCTTCCAAGGACAGCGGGATGGGGGGTTTGGGTACTTTTATAAACTGGCCCTGCATATAGGGCCTGCCCCATGCTGGCTTGAACTGAGGGGCACACAGCCCAGTGGGCACCCTGATTCTTTCTAAGTTGCCTCTGATTTGGGGAGAATGCAAGGAGCAGGGGGAACAAGTCTGGCCTAGGAGTCAGGAGCCTTTGGTTCTAGTCCTGGCTCCGCCAACGTCTTGCTGTATGACCATAGGTGAGTCACTTCCCCTGTCTGGGCCTCCCAGTTTGCCTTCGTTTGATGACCAGTTAACTAACTTGGGTCAAAGACCTAGGGAGGCAAACATCACTTCAACATAAGATGTTTCTTATTCAGCTCCCACAGTTCTGGGTTTGAATATCCCAACTCGGTTGCCCACTCAGCCTTGTGCCCTGGAGAAATGTACCTGTCTCTGAGCCTCAGTTTCTTCATCTTTAAAATGGGGACAATACGCCTCAACTCAAAGTTTTATTGTGAGAAATAACTGAGCTAATGAATATCTAGGCCCAGAGCATGGCAGGTGTTCAGCAAATCATTATCTCTATTCTTTTTTCCAAAAAGGAGATATGTTGCTTTGAGAAGTAGTGAGTTTCCCATCACTAGGGATGTTCAAGCAGAGGAAGGGCAATCATATGATGGTTACTGTAGAGGGAGATAGAGGAAGAAGGGGAGAATACCAGGACCTGTCCTCAAGAAGTTTTCAGCCTAGGGGACAAAGGGGGAGACCCTGTCATGGGGAGCACTCAGACTGGGAGTGGGAAGATGTGACAGGTGGTTCCATGTTTAGAGCCTTGAAGATGTGCAAAGTGCTGAGAGTCCTCAATGTAGAGAGAACAGTCTCTGAGTCTTCCGGACTCAGGGAAGGCTTCCTGGAGGAGGTGGCATTTGAGCTGGGCAGGCAGGACAGGGAGATTAGGCCTTTTGTTGAGATGGCATGGGTGCAGAAATGGTGGTGTGTGTTCGGAAATCTAGGAGGAGAGTGTTTGGGCTGGAAAGGAAGGCAGGGACCAAATCAAGGAGAGCCTCAAGTGCCAGCTTGGAGGGCGCAGGCTTCCTGAAGGCCGGGCAGGACCCTGGAAGAGTGTGAATCAGGGCAGTGCTGAGTTAGATTTACACTGATTGAGAGGAGGTGAAGGCAAAGGCAGAGGGAGTCAGCAGGTTTGGGGTAACAACCTTGCTTCGTGGGCAGCTTCAGAGGAGGGTCCGGCTCAGGTAAGCTCCAAGCCCGAGTGTCAGCCTGACACAGTAAGTGGGGCCTGGACCAGAAGCCTCTAGGGCCCCTCTGGCCAGGTCCCTGGTCTTCTGCCCTCTGGTGCTACTTCTGGGATTGACCAGTGAGTCCAGGACCATGAAGCCAATGCCGGGTCCCACTCCAGGTGTAGGAGGAGGGAGGGTTGGGGAGAGAAGATGAGCAGAGGCAGAGAGAGAAACAGACAGATCACCCCAATTCATCTATGAATTCATTGCACTCACCCCCGAGTCCCACAGGATTCTGAAGTTAGCGTGGCAGAGAGAACACCTAGGAACGGCCAAGGACACCATGAAGATCAGCAGTGGAGGGGGCTTGCCCTGTCAGTCACACCAATGTGGCTATTCTCACCCGAACAGCAGTGGGGCACCCCGAGAGATCAGTGAAACACAGTCCTCCTTCCCATGGGAATCGTGTGTAGGATGAAAATTGCATCTCAGATGGTTTTGGGAGAATTGACTATTCACCGGGATGAAAAACAAACTTTAGCTTGTATTTCAAACCACCCGTCAAAATAAACTCCAGATAGGTCAAAGTAAAGTAAAAAGCAAACTATAACCATTTAGAGCTAGAAATCAACAAGAAAAAGACAAATAACCCGGCAGGAAAGTGGGCAAAGGGCGGCGGTGGACAATTCCAGGAGGAGGTACTGAATGGGAGATAAAAGTAGGAAGAGTCGGGACTCTCTCGAGCAATCAGGGAAATGCAAATTCGAACAACAATGAGATACCATTTCACACCCATCAGATTGGCAACAGTTACAAAGGCTGGCACTACCAAGTGTTATTCAAGCTGCTGGTGGGAGTGTAAATTGAGAGACTCTTTGGAGAGCAAACCGGCAGGACTTCGTAAAATTCTAGCTGCGGACATCCACCGCCCAGCCTTCCGCTGCGAGGTGTGTGCCAAAGACAGGAGCTCCAGCTTGTGGACACGGGGGCGGGCGAGGATTTTTGTTGTAGTTTTGAGATAGAAACACAGGGAAACAACCTACAGGGACATGAGCAACGGAAGCCCAGACAGGTGTTAGCTGCCTGCTCTTGTACCCGGGAGAATGGATGAGGAAACCCCTCCCAGTCTCTTTCCCTCTCTCTAAAATAGAACAAACATAAAATACTAGACCAGCTCTGGCCGGTTCGGCTCAGAGGTTAGCGCGTCAGCCCACCCACGGAAGGGTTGCAGGTTCGATCCCCAGCGCTGGTCAGGGTCATGTGGGAGGCAGCCAATCGATGGGTCTCTCTCACATCGATGTTTCTCTCTCTCTCTCTCCCTCCCATTCTATCTAAAAGTTAGTGGAAAAATATCCTCAGGGGAGGATTAACAAAATATATACAGTAGATCATATTTTTATCATTTTGGGATGGAGTAGGCCTTCCTGAACAGGACGTAAAGTCCAGAAGCCGTTAAGGAGAAAGGAGCAGATTGGACACCCTAAAATTAAGCAACACAAAATAAAGCTTCTGTATGGTGGAACCTTTATATGCACACTGGATGGAAAGGTGACGGGAAGTACTTGTGACAACACCCATGACATACAAAAAGCTAATAGAATCAAGGCCAGAAAGACAATCCATCAGAAAAATAGGTGGGAACTGGAGGCAGACGATCCCCAGGAAAAGAAGCCGAGACAAGGACCTTGGGGAAGACTCAGAGATGAGGAGTGAGAGAGCTATAGAAATGAGAGGCACAGAGACGGCTGAGCAGGACCAGTGCCCCAGAGGAAGGGCTAGGAAAGAGCTGGGCAGATGGAGAGAGGGCAGCAGGGAGCCCAGGGGAGGGCTGGATGCGGGTGATGCTGGCCGGATGGGTGGTCAGGGTGGGGCTGGGGAAAGATGACCAGGCTATGTTCTCAGGCCCTGGGCAGCTGGGGGGGACCGAAGGGATAGGTCCACATCAAAGGGTAGCGCCACTGGCAGCTGGCATGGCCCCACCCTTCCCAGCTCAGCAGGCCTTGTTCTTTGATGTGTGCATGGGGGAGGGGCACTGAGCACTGGGCTGCCCTGCCCGTTCTCCACTCACACTGGATCCTCGGTGCTGCCAGCGTCAGCCCAGCTGCCCTGTCTGGGGGTGGGACACAGAATGGGGGTGACTCGAGGCTCCCATGGTTGGGCCAGACTCATGAAGGAAGTCTCCCAGTTGGGGGGTTGATGAAGACACAGGCTTGTGTCCTCCGTGCCTATGAGGACAGAGGGGCCTGTCTGGGCCATGCCTACAACTCTCAGCTTGAGAGAGTCGAGTCCCATCCCAGCACCGGGCCAACCAGCATCAGTCAGACTCACTGTATGCAGGGGGAAACTGAGGCCCAGAGTGGCTTGGGGGTGCAATTGTTGCTGAGGCAGGGGTTGGGCTCCATCCTCTCCCCTGGCTCCTGGACCCTGCAGGGGTGCGGAGCAAAGTGGGGACCAAGGATGAGCAGGCGGAGGAGCAGGACAGCCCCCGCATTCTCCGCCCCTCCCTTACAGCACTTCTGGCTGCTTGTCGTGTCCCGGGGGCTGGTGGGCATCGGGGAGGCCAGCTACTCCACCATCGCGCCCACCATCATTGGCGACCTCTTCACCAAGAACACACGCACGCTCATGCTGTCTGTCTTCTACTTTGCCATTCCGCTGGGCAGGTGAGGATCCGGGCAAGGTCCCCTCGAACTTCTTTTTTAAAAATATGTTTTTTTAATTGATTTTTTAGAGAGAGAGGAAGGGAGAGGGAGAGAGAGATAGAAACATCGATGAGAGAGAACATCGGTTGGCCGCCTCCTGCATGCCCCTCACTGGGGATCGGGCCCACAACCTGGGCATGTGCCCTGACTGGGAATTGGACCCGTGACCTCTTGGTGCCCGGGTTGAAGCTCAACCACTTAGCGACAGTGGCCAGGCTCGAACTTCTGACTACTCCCCCCCTGAGGTTTGGCCCTCTGTGACCTGAATCACCCAGCTGGCTGGGTGGTGGGGCAGGTGGGCAGGTGTCCTGCCTTGTAGATCATGAGCATCACCCCCACCCCCGCCCACCCCTGCCGACTGTTCCGTCTTCTCTCCTGCAGCGGCCTGGGCTACATCACTGGCTCCAGTGTGAAGCAGGCAGCTGGAGACTGGCACTGGGCCTTGCGGGTAAGGACACCCCCACCCCCAACCAGCTTGTGCCCAGGGTCACCCAGAGACCCAGGGACAGAACCTGGGCCAGGATGCAGGCTCAGCCTCCAGGCTTCCCACCTCGCAGGCCCACACTCTTCTAGATTCATCCACACTGTGGGGTTGGGGAGCCCAGGTGTGAGCAGAGCCCGGCTCAGCCCTATCACCCTCGGGCCCCCGGCTGAGGACGAGGAGCCCTCCCACCAGGCCAGGAAATTCCAGGTCCCCGATGGTGCTTCCTGCTCTGAGTCCCGGCACTGTGCTGGGGCGAGGCTGAGACCAGACCTCTGTGTGGGGGCCCCCGGGTCTGCAGCCACTTCCTGTCCCCGGGGAGGATTCGGGGCTTGTCTGCCAAGGCCCCAGGACAGTGCAATCGGAGGAAACAGAGATCCCCAGTCTCACAGAGGAGAGGAAGCTTAAGACAAAGTGTTTTTTCCTCAAAAGCAGGAAGGAAGCAGCCTCCGTGGAATTTCTTAATGGGAGTGGGAGCGGATGGAGAGGAACACCCAGCCCACGGGCTCCCAGGCTTGCTGGGGGCGGGAACAGCTTTCCCTGTTCTCATCAGCCGCTGGAGGAGCTGACACCTTGGCATCCAGGCTGTCAAAACGTGCCCCCATCGGGAGGGAGGGCTGGGGCCTGGAGGTTTTGTTCTTGACACTGGGCTGGACACAGGGAAGAACCAAAGGGGACCCTGAGCCTCTGTTCTCCTGTATCTCCCATAGGATAACATACCTGATCTGTTCTCTGGGTGCTTCATGCCCAGCCAGTCCTTCCCAGTGACCCGCAGGGTGAGGGTCTGGCCTGGAAAACCCTCCCAGGCCCAGGGGTTTGGGCAGGGCTGGCGTCTGGCTCCTGGTCCACAGGAGCTCTCTCCTTTCCCACTCATTGTGTTGTATGTCTGTCCAATACCTACCTGTCTGTCTTTCTTTCCATCCATCGGCCAGCCATCCGTCTTCCTGTTTGTCCATGTGTTAATTCATCCACCCAGCGATTCGTCGGTTTTCATTAGTTAATTCACCCGCCCATCCTTCCATCTGTCTGTCCGTGCATTCAGCCATCTGTCTTCTCTCCTCCACCCGTCTGACTGCCCATCCATCCCTTCTTCCTCCCGTCCTGCGCCTGCTCCGAACACTGCGTTTGCGCCCCCAGGCTCTTTGCTGACCTCATTCCCAGTGGCTTTGCTCAGCTCGCCAGTCAGGAGGACTGGGCAGATGCTGGCCCCCAGGAGGGACCCAGAGCCCAGAGGTGTGGCGTGGCTGAGCTCCCCTCCCAGTGCAGCAGGGACAAGCTGACTGGGCCCTGGTGTCCTGATGTGGTGCCCCCTGCCCCATCAGGTGTCCCCCATCGTGGGCATGATCACAGGAACACTCATCCTTGTCCTGGTCCCGGCCACTAAGCGAGGCCATGCCGACCAGCTCGGCGGGCAGCTCAAGGCACAGACCTCGTGGCTCCGAGACATGAAGGCCCTGATCCGCAAGTGAGTGCTGCTGGGTGGGGTCTGGTAGACGAGGGGGGCCACAATGAGAGGACACCCTCTGCAGGGCAGCCCACCCAGCACCCTTGGTCAGACTCCCTGCTGTCTCCGCTGCCAATAGTGCCGGGAGTGACGTTTTGATCACTAGTGCTTATGATTCTGCAGCCCTAGCCCTCAGGCCCAGAAGCTGTAAGGGAAGACAGAGGCCTTCCAGCCCTGGGGAAGGAGCAGGGCGCAAAGCCTGCCTCCCGGGCCAGCGGCCCCACTCAGTGTCGCTGCCCTGCCTCTCCCCAGCCGCAGCTACGTCTTCTCCTCCCTGGCCACGTCGGCTGTGTCCTTCGCCACAGGGGCCCTGGGCATGTGGATCCCACTGTACCTGTACCGCGCCCAGGTCGTGCAGAAGACGGCAGAGGTGTGCAGCAGCCCGCCCTGTGGGGCCAAGGACAGGTGGGGCCAGGCCCAGCTGGGGCCGGTGGGCAGCAGGGTGGCGAGGGACGCTGGACAGAAGTGCCAGCCCTCGGCCCTAGTGTTGGCCTTTCTCTCAACCCACATCCCCTCCCCCATCCTCTGTCCCCACAGCCTCATCTTTGGGGCCATCACCTGCTTTACGGGCTTTCTGGGTGTGGCCACGGGGGCAGGAGCCACGCGCTGGTGCCGGCTGCGGACCCAGCGGGCAGACCCGCTGGTGTGTGCTGTGGGCATGCTGGGCTCTGCCATCTTCATCTGCCTCGTCTTCGTGGCCGCCAAGAGCAGCATTGTGGGGGCCTATGTGAGTGCAGTGGGGGGTGCGAGCGTGGGGGGGTGGCCTGGCAGGAGGTGCCATCTGACCTACAGGCCCTCCCTCCCCATGGGGAGGCTTCTATCTGCCCAGCCCTGTTCTGCCCATGCCTGTCCATGGCGCTGGTGTCCTTCGGGGCTGTGGGCCCGATAAGCACAACTTTCTCATGAGCCCGACTGCCGGGAGATGCTGGCCCCAGGGAGGGGCGGGAGGCTCGGGGGCTCCCTGCCAGCAGCCGGGGTGCACGGAGTGACCTGAGGCGCCGGCGGGTGGCGTGCTGACGGTGGTTCTGGTCTCTCCTGGGCAGATCTGCATCTTTGTTGGGGAGACACTGCTGTTTTCAAACTGGGCCATCACCGCAGACATCCTAATGGTGAGGAAGCGAGGTTGTCTCAGCCAGGCCTCCTGACCTCTCAGGCTCCTGGAGAGGGCGGAAGAAGGGAGGCAGAGCTGGCAGGACTTGGTGGCGGTGGAGGGGGGCAGGCTGGGAAGGTGAGCCTCGAGGCAGCGAGGGGATGTTGGGGTCTGCATGGGGCAGGGCCTGAAATCAGAGGGTTGAGCGGGCAGGATGGGTATGGAGACTGGGTGGGGAGGGGGATGTCTGGAGGCTCCGGTTTGTGGCCAGGAGGCTGGCAGTGCCAGGCTGGCACTGAGGGGGTGCTGCCTGCCAGCGCTCCTCCCCCAGGGTCTAAGCCTGGGTCCCAGGCGCCCTGCCTGAGTGCCTGCGGCTGTGGCTAGGCGGACAGAGGCCGTCTTCACAGGGCCAACAATGGGCTCCAGACCAGCCGGCCAGGGACAAAGGGCTGTCTGAGCACCGCAGGGGTTTGTGTCCCGGGGCGGGGCTGGGTGCAGCCTGAGGAACTGGGAGGCCTGGTCCTGGTCACTTGCAGCAGTCTGCAGGGTGGTGAGGGCTGGGGTGGAGGGTACCTGGGACCCTCGCAGTGTCAGGAGGGCTGGGAGAAGGGGAGTGCAGGGGCCCAGCAGGGTGGGGTGGGCAGGCCCTGGGACAGGAGGCCGAAGGGCTCCTCGTGGGCCCACCTTCAGGGCACTCAGGGTTTGGTGCCCAGTATGGGCAGCCCAGGAGCAGTCTGCCTGGCGCTGGGCTCCCGGCAGCTTAGGAAGGCTGCCTCGCCCACCAGGGCTTCCCTGGGGCCGGCTCTCTCCAGCCCATCCCAGTCCTCGGGCTGCGGGGAGAGGGGGTCTGATTCAACGCTGCCTCAGCATAGAGCCTGGCTGGGTGGCAGGGGTCGGGTAGGGGGTGTCACTGCACATGCCCTGAGTGAAGGAGGAGGCATCTGTTTGAACCAAGCGCCCTTGGTGCTGGGCAGCTCCCCCATCCCTGCCTCTGCCCCCAGGGGCAGCCCCAGCTGCTGACAGGGTTGGGGCCCAGGGAAATCGTGTCCCATTTTATTAAGTGTCACAGCCACGTGACTACTGCTGGAAACGGGGCCACACAATCCCGTCGGGTCCAGGCCTCCTCCCTGCCCCCTGCAATGGGGTGCCCAGTGGGCACTGGCCGCTCTGGCAGACTGTCTGAGGCTGGTGCTCTGACGAGATGAAGCAGCTGAAGCTCGGGGGCACCCACTGACCTGGCTGCTGCCCACCCACTGCTCCTCTGCTGACCTTGGCCCACGCAGCCTCCGAGCTACGACCCCGTGGCTAGGGCCTGCTTGGTCTGATAAGGGTTCCTGGGGCCCAGTGGCTCCTGGCATTTGCTACTGGGGGTGCCCATGGGTAAAAGTGGAGGCTCTTCCAGGCAGGTCCTGCTCCCCACTCCCTTGCAAGCCAACCCAGGTCTTGCCAGGTCCGCATGGAGTGGGGACCAAGATGGATCTTTAGCTGGTGGGGAGGTGAGGGCAGGGGGCTGAGGTCAGGGTTCTGGGTCCAGCACTGCCTGACTCCATGTGTAACCTGTGTCTGGGGCCTCGGTGTCCCATGACCACGGCAGCTGGCTCCCCACCAGAAGCCCCGTGCTGAGTGCAAGGCAGCCTGGCCTCGGGAGGGAGCGGGAGATGAGCGAGGGCCCTGCTGGGGGGGGGGGGGCAGGGCAGTGAGGTGTTAAGACACTAGGGCAGAAGACATCTTCAGAAGTGTCCTGACCCAGGGATGAGGCCAGATGGATGGGCCCGGCTCCTCAGGCCTCTGACCTGCCACCTCTTCCACAGTATGTGGTCATCCCCACGAGACGGGCCACCGCCGTGGCCCTGCAGAGCTTCACCTCTCACCTGCTGGGGGATGCTGGCAGCCCCTACCTCATCGGCTTTGTGAGTCTGGGGCGGCGCGGCCACGGGGGTGCCGGGCTTCAGGAGGTGGGCCCGCCCTGACATTCACCCACCGTCCTCGCAGATCTCCGACCAGATCCGCCAGAGCACCAAGGACTCCCCGCTCTGGGAGTTCTTGAGTCTGGGCTACGCCCTCATGCTCTGCCCCTTCGTCGTGGTCCTGGGTGGCATGTTCTTCCTAGCCACTGCTCTCTTCTTCCTCAGTGACCGCGCCAAGGCTGAGCAGCAGTGAGTGGGGGCAGGGAGGGCCTGTTGCCTCCGCTGCCGCAGCCCTGCCTGGGTGGGGGTTCGGGTGGTCACCTGGGCCAGCTCCCAAGCCTTCCTGTCTTCTGGCTGCTGCCTGTCACTCACAAGCCTGCCCCACACCGGTGGGCGTGGGAGCTGTGGGAGGCCACCGCAAGCCGGCCTGTTCCTGGCGGTTCTAGACGCGGGTTTTTCTCTGGAGTTAATGGGTTTCAAAGCTGGGACCCTTCCTTCCTTTCTCTCATTTTCTGACTTTTCTCCTCTTTACTCTTCTCTTTCTTTCCTCTCCCCACCCCTGGGCTCTCCCACCTCCCCCTGGGGCTGACGAGGTCCCTGCCCAGCACATCCGGTCAACCGGCCCCTGTGACTCGATGTCTCAGAGCAGTGCCCAGGCTCGGCCCCCGCTGATCCGCCACCTTGACCCCTGCCCGTCTCTCCCCCAGGGTGAACGAGCTGGTGATGCCACCTGCATCCGTGAAGGTCTGAGGCGGTGAGCACAGGCCAGAGGGGCTGGGGTGGGCTCCCCGTGGGAGGGGAGGCAGGGTTGGGGGCGGGAGTACTCAGGGCAGCACTTTCTCCTAAAACGTGCCCAAATGTACTGGAGGATCATGGGAGGGGTGCAGGCTCCCTCTTCCAGTAAATCAGCCCCCCCTCCTTCCTTCCTCAGAAGGGCTGGGGGCATAGGTCAGGGCCAAGACTGGCCAGGACTCCCTGCTGTCCGGGATTCTGTCATCCCAAACTCTCCTGGAGGCGCCAGGGCCTACTCTGGCCTTCCTCTGGGCCAGGCCCTGGGGTCCTTCCTAGCAGCCCAGACCCAGACCACCACCTCCAGTCTGGCTGCAGGACACCGCCCCCTTCAGGTCCCCAAAGTGATTTTCCCAACAGCCAGGAAGAGGAAGGAAAGAAGCTCCAAATGATGCCCCCCAAGCCCCAGCTCTGACCTGCGGCCCCTTCCCTCTAGGTGCCTCAGGAACTATGACCGCTCGCTCCCACCTGGCCTGGGAGGTGTCCTTCAGCACCCCGGCCCTGCTGGGCTGCCCAGCTTTCCACGCGACCCAAGGCTGGATGCCGGCCTCCGGTCTGGGACTGCCGAGTGGCCACGGCTCCAAGAAGCCGTGTCCTCAACGCACCTGGAAGGCTGTGTGTGCTGGGGCCACAGGATGGGGCAGACCCCCAGCCCTGGGTTTAGGCTGCAGGGCCCCTGGGACCCAGGGAGAAGACAGCCCCCCTGGAACGTGTGGAGAGCATCTGGCCCGGCACCAGCTCATGTGATCCTGGGCAATTCCCGGCCCCCTACAGGCCGTGGGGCCAGCGAGCTGGACTTCCCCGCGCGGCTTGCGGCGCAAGGCACCGTCTGCAGCCTTGAAGACCGGACAGCCCCCCTACTGCACGGAGAGGGGGCCCAGGCCTCAGGGCAGCACTTCAGGCGCTGAGACTCCCTGCTGCGGGGACCAGGCCTTTCAGTGGGCCTCTGACCTTAGGGACACTGGACTCAACCTGGCAGAGCTGGACACTGTCACTGAGAACTTCCTGGTCTGGCTGGTCACCCTAGAGGGCACTTACCTCTGCTACTTTGGGCTGGCTCAGTCTGTCTCCCAGGTGGTCACCACCCCAACAGGGAGCTGGCATCACCAGGGGTGAAGGCCCTGGTGGTTGCTACTCACCACCTGTGCCCCCAGCCCCGAGATCACAGGGGGGATGCCCACCCATACAGGGTTCCTTACAGCCCCTGGAAAACCTGTTCCTCTTGGACCCCCCGACAGGAGCCAGACCTACTCCTGCCCCAGACAGGGCTCCTTCCAGGGGCAGGGCCCAGGGGGCCTCTTCCCAGAACCCACAGGGCAGCAGCCAGGGCTCTGGCGGGGGAGGCAGCCATCCACTAAGCTCCTGACCTAGGAATAGCCCAATGGAGGTGACACCCCAGAACCACCTCCACCCAAAGGCAGCTGCTGTTGCTCACGGGCGTCTCCACACCCGCCGCAGGCCTGTCCGCACCCGCCTCCCCGTCCTCATGGCCACATGCGGGGTACAGCTGCCACGCTGCCCACCAGCCCCTGGCCCCCAGCGCGCAGCTTACCATATTCTCCCTGCTCCACGCTCCCTCCCTGCACAGTTGCTGGAATCCAGGTGGTTCTGGCCTGGGGACCCCCTGTGGCCAGCAGACCCCAAGAGCCAGCTTAGACAATGCTCTTCGCTCTGTAGTTCCCGGCTGGCGTGGCTTCAGTGGTGTGTAAGCTACTGGAATACCCACTCCCCGCCAAGCTCTGGGGTGCCCTGGAGGGCCTAGCAAGAGGGTGGGATCCCCAAAGACCACCCTGGCCTCCACCCCCACCTCCGCCTCAACTGGGGCCCCAGCAATGTTTTCTTGTTGTACAAGAACCAGGTCCAAGTGTTGCCTCCTCTTCCTTCCGGAAGCCAAACTGCTCCTTTATTTTTTAGAGCTGCTGATTGTGAATCTGAGTCTTAAAAGAGAGAAGCCAAATATATTCCTCTTGTAAATGAAGAAATAAACCTATTTAAATCACGCCGCGGTGGCTCCTGCAGGAAAGCAGCCGGGCGGGAGGGGACAAGGAGTGGCCACACTGTGCTCACATGGCGTCTGCCTGGCCCTGGCCGACCTGCCAAACACCCAGCCCGGACCTGGACCACGTGCCAGGAGCCACACCCCCAGCCTCACACAATTCAAATGTGTTCTGGGCTGGGACACAGGGCAGCCAGAGAGCACCGCATGGCAGGGCCACCTGGAAGAGGACTCGGTCGCGTCTGCTGCAGTAGGACCCTCTTCCTGCAGAGCCAGAAGGTAGTACTCAGAGCGGCTTGTTTATTAAAATCCTGGTGAAAAAATAGGAGTCTGTGGGGCTGCCAGGGAGGGCGGGGCAGGGCCTGCACTCAGGGCTTTTTCGCCTTCCTCAGCTGTGCTTTCTTCTTGGCCCCACTCTGCAGGAGGCTGGGGCTCCGACTGGCCAAAGACAATCTTAATCTCGCCTTTTTCCGTGGCAGAGCCGACTGTGACAATTTGCCCGAGACCTCCTTTTTGGGCAGCTCCCTCTGATACTGCTTCTCGCTGGCAGGCTCCGTGGGGGACACAGGAGTGGCTCCATTCACCTGGGACAGCTTCCGATGTTTCTTCTGTAGCTTTGGGGTCTTGGCAGGGGGCTCGGGGACCGGACTCCTGGTGGCAGGAGTCCCATTCGCCTGGGCCTGGGCTGCAGGCTTAGCCTTCTTCCTTCTCCTCTTCTTGCCTGTGCTGGGGGGCTGGTCCCCACCAGTGGCTGCAGGCTTGGCATCCTCCTCCTGTGTGGTGTTCCCTGACTTGCGTTTCTTGCGCTTCTTGGTCTCTGGCAAGAACCCCTTTTTCTTCCGTTTCATGCTAACGGGGCTCTGTGTGGCACTAAGGACTCCCTTGGCCTCCTTCTTCTCCGACTTGGGGCGCCTGGGAAGAAGTGAACAAAGTAAGGAAGTGTCTAGTGAAGGCAGGGGTGTCCGACTCTGTGACCCCCGGGGACCCAAGTTGTGCAAAGCTCCCACACTGGGGCACGCACATCACAATGTGTGCAGTGTGAGGGTCTCTCCTGCCCCTCCCAAGGTACAGGCCCTCCTTCCAGAACATACTGCACTCCGAGGACCTTCATGGCCTGCCAGTAGAGGTCAAAGAGGCGGCTGGAGCCCGTCGAGTGCTCCCCCTGCTGCACCCTGTGCTGCAGGTTCGGCTGCTGGCTCTGCAGCACGCCCTGGACGGCGGTGAGGTCCACGGTCAGCTTCTGCAGAGGGGGAAGCGGTGGCTGCAGCGCACACGGGAAGCAGGGCCTCTCCCCAGCTCCTGGTCCCCAGTCCCCCCACCTTTGCCCAATTACCGCCTCTCCAGGGACCCCATGTCCCCTTCTGCACCTGCAGCCACACCTGACTGCAAATCACGCTTCACTCACCTTAGGCAGAAAGAGCCCCCGGCGCCATGTTCGCTCCCTCTCCCCACAGCCAGTAGCCCCAATCTCCACCTCCTCCCCTCCCACTCCACCCTCCCTCCGCAGCTCTGGCCTGCCCACCTCTGAGGGCACCATGCAGTGACATCAGGGTGGCCAAAGCCCTTCGTCTCATCTCACCCTCCCTGCCACATGACTGGGTTATTTTGAAACCCACTGGCTTCCAGAACACTCTTCTCGTCTGGCTTTTTACTACCATTCTGGGCACTGCTGCTCAGGTCCACAGGCTGTTCTCACGACCCCGGCCCAGGCCCGTCTCCCCCCAGCACCCTCTCAGCAGGCCGGCCCTGCACGCAGGCTTTGACCACTGCCTGTGCAGGAACTCCCAGACCTCTCCCCCAGGCCAGACTGAGGAACCAGACACGCACCCACAACTGCCTCCTGGACCCCACTCTGAAGGCCCCTCGTTCCCTCTCCACAGGCTCTGGAACCTGGCTCCTTCCTAACAGCTGCCCCCCAGGAATCTTCTTCACCTCCTCCCAAGGTCCCCAGCCCTCCAGCCCTTTCTCTGCTTTCTTACTGGAACAAACAACAGCACAGCCTCCTGCCCTGACCCCGCCAGGCACAGGGGTGGCACTCGCCCAAGTCCATCACTCATGCCCATGGCTCCCTAACCACGCAAACAGTAACAGTCCAACTCCTCCCCTGGCACCCAGAACCTGCCCCACATGGCTCCCCGCCCACCTGGTGACCTCCCTCCTGAGCTCACCTCGTGATTAATAAGCCGGAAAAGAGTGTTGAGCAGCTCCAAGGAAGACCGCTCCCTCAGGTGCTCCGACTTGGTCTGCGCCTTACCCAGCGCCCGCAGATTCTAAGGAGAAGCGGCCAGGCTGAGCCACCCGGGACAGCTTCCCGAAGCCAGTCCCCACGAGACCAGAGCCCGATGGAAGAAATGTCTCCGGGAGCAATCCCCAAACCACCCCCAGGCTCAGGGCCCCAGTAATCCCCGCTCCTTGGTTCTGAGAACCACTCCTGACGGGTGTGAGAGGGAGCTCCGCGGCTGCTACCTCGGTGACCTTTGCCAGGATCCGGCCAATCAACTGCTCCCACTCGGGGTCCTCAAAACACAGTCTCAGCTCCCGGATGGGCAGGGCCTTCTGGAGCAGCAGGCAGGCCTGGGCCTGGGGTGGGGGGAGGGAACGTGGTCACCAGGAGCCTCGGCTGCTGGGCCACGGCTTAGGGAACCATAGGGGACCCCGAGAGCTCTGGCAGAAGCTAAGGCCAAGACAACGTGAGGCTGCATGAGGGGCTGCCTGCTGCTCTGGGTCCAACCTGCCTGGGCCGTCACTGAAGCAGCGCTGGGCCCAGCAACCATCTGCTCCCACCCCTTTTCTCAGGGGGAACAGAGCCTGGGTGGGGAGTAAGGGCTCTCAGCTAGTCAGAGACAGCCTGGACTGGGACAGTTCCCGACCCTCGTTCTACTCAGCACTGTCTTCCTGCAGCCCCAGCCTCCCGTCTCCGTCCTCGGGCCGTCAGCTGGGCTCCGGAGCACCAGCCAAAGGCTCCCCTCTGCGGGCTGGAGCGTGAGCTGGACTTGGAGGGCTCAGGCCACGTGGGAAGTGGCAGAGGCAGGAGCACGGCTGCGTGCGCCCCCACAGCTGCGCTGTGCCCACAGCGGGGAGGTCAGAGGGGCAGGGGCGGGGTGCGCCCGCCGCCCTTACTCCCACCAGGGCAGCAATCCTGGGCCACAAGTGCCCGGCCAGAAGGGACTCGGGGTCAGCAGACAGGCCTTACCTGATGGCGAGGCCGTGTCTGGCCTGTCACGTGCTGGACCACGACGGGGAGCAGGCTCTTACAGAGCACCTAGGGAGGGAACGGCGGCCATGAGACGGGACTCTGGGTGGGCAGGCCCCGCGGGTGGGCTGGCCCCCACACTCACTGGGTGCCGGGAGAAGAGGCTGAGGAACATGGGAACGGTGAGTGGGCTGTTGCGCTTGGTCAGGAATGAGCTCAGTGCTGACGAGTAGATTGGGGTCACGAGGTTCAAATCCAAGCAGCTGGTAGCCGGGGCCACCTGAGGGAGAGTTCATGTGATGCCAGGGAGA